TTCCCTACCTCTTTTCCTATTTCCTCCTTTAAAAAAAAAACAACAAACAGAACACAATTACTATCACAATCTCTGTGGTAAATATAAGAATTGTTAGAGGAATCTGAAGTGCTATAACAACAAAAAAAAATCAGCTGGAGGTCATAAGAGGGTATTTTTCAGTAGTCACAACCCAAGGAATGTGCAAGAAAGTAAAATGGCACCTGCTGCGTTTGTATGGTTTTCGTTAAAATACACACTCCCCCCCCACCCCCAGCCCCCGATGCCAGTGTCAAGCAATGACACAAGAAATGTTATCTGTAAAGCTGTGAGACAAAGGCATGAACAAACAGGGTGCATAGGGATGGGCAGGCAGGGTGGGGGTACCCTCTGGCACATCACACAGCTCCCAGTTTCAATCCCTGCCTCCGCTCACAAGCAGAAGAGAGCAGGAAAACCTGCAGCTTCAACGTGTTTGGATTGGGACACCCACATGAGATTATATAGCGCCTCTTAGTTTGCATATGCTGCAATTTGAATGCTGCTTCTAAATCCCCTGAAGTACAATTTTCATGCGCGGACAGAGTGAAAAATGCCACCCCAGTGAAGCTTCCTGAAGCTCATCAGTAACTGAGCTAGGCTTGTGTCCTCAGCCAAGACACCGACTTCTGGTTTTCCTAGATGGAATAAGGCTTTTCCTGACATTAAACATACCTGCTGGCATCTCTTCTAAGCACTGACTTCTTTTCCACATGTACAGGTGGATCAAGCACTAACTCAAGCCAGAAATTCAAGGGATCCTAGCACATGTCCTAGTAGGGAGATTAGACTCCGATGTCATAAACTAGGCTTTTATATCAAGTAGTTTAAAATCATGTTCTAATATTTCCAGTCCTCTGAATAAACTTCTAAGCCGTCACCTGCCATATGAATGCATGTGTGCTTTGGTACTCGCTTGTGTTTCGTACGCTCGCTCTGCTCAGCACTCGTAGGTGTCAGCGCGGATTAAAAGCTGCAAACCGCATACACAGCCCTGTGCAAGGCGGGGATTTCACATTCTGGAACTGGCTGGTAAAGCTGGGAGGATCATTTTTAGTAACGATGAAATCCAGCAAAGGGCACCTTGCTTGCTTATGAGGTATCTTTCGTGGCAGTCTCCATTCACATCTTTTTTGCATGTACTGAATGGGATTTTTTTTGGGGGGGGGGGGGGTCTTGTTGTCCATGTCTATCAACATGGACAGTGCTTTGAGCAAAGCTGTCCAGGTAAGGATTAATGGTCACCCAATTTTACATGTTTCCTTCAAAGCTCTTCCACTTGATTGCCTGAAGTCTGATACAAAAAGAGGGCCCATGGGCTATACCTATCTTTTTGCTGTTGCAACAATCACCTAAGGGAGCATTTCAGCAACCAAACCTGGAGAAATTCCCTGTCCACTGGGCACAGAGACAATGGCATATTGCTGTCTCTCTCCATCTCAGAGGCTTCTCGAAGGCATCATTTGTTTTATGGTTGAATCAAAACAGAAAAAGCAGGTCTTGCTCCAGATTTCGTAACGCTGTAGATGAAACTGAATTTGCCCTCTAGGAATGAGCTGTTCAAGCTCCTCCTGTCAGTGGCAAAGGGTAGGAGAGAAGCTGCCCTGGGGAAATGGAGCAGAGCAGCCCCAGAGTAGCGCCTGTTGCTCCTGCTGTTGCTATGTGGGTGAAGGGCACAGGGGAGGTATACAGCAAAGCCCCAAACTGGGTGGTGGGACTATGGCTGTCTTGCCTGCCCCAATCAGGATGATACCCCAGAAAACTTCTCTGTGCCCAGAAAAGCTCTTGTGAGAAATGACACTAGAAGTATTTGAATTAACACTACAATGATCCCTCCACTGACAAACTGACAGTGGAGAAAACCACCTAGCCTAAGAAACTGGAAGATCATTATCTAAGCCTTATACATAATCTCTCTCTTTTAAAGAACTAGCAATGAAAGTTTTCCCTGGGAGCAAGTTTTTAAAAGCAGTCCCAGCACCTTTCTAGGAACAATCCAAGTTGGGACAAATAAAATGCCCCGACTGAAGATTTTTCATATCTTGTTGCTTATTCTTATCACTGCTGCTGGTTTTGGTTTGGTTTGGTTTGTTGGGTTTTTTTTTTGTGGTTGAGGAGGATAGTTCATTGAGCTGGGATTTTCATTAATACAGTTTTTTCTGTTGAAAAAATTCAGAATCAATGTTTTAGGGGCCGCAAAACTCTCCCTGGCATCATCTTTCTTTGGTTACCTTTTGCTCCTATCATTATTTGCTATGGGCTGTGAGAACTCGGATGTGGCTGGACTGACTGTGTCGTACCACGGGTATGCTGGGAAGGCCTCACTTCAGCATAGCATGCCATTGCAAACCAAACTCCTTTCTCCTTTTATTCCACAAAGTATATATTGTTGAAAAGAGAATGACTGACCTAAATATGCTTTCCAGAAATTTGATTCAGAGTGGTGGAAACTGCTCCATCTATTCCAGCAGGCATTATGTCAGAACCCTTTCATGATTGTTGCCTTCAGCCCGGAGGGGTTTATGCCACAAGTGCAGATTATTTTTCTGATTACTTTTTAATTATTATTGCCATGGGACCCATCCTTTCAGCCTAGAGGTTTCTGGAAATGTGAGGAGCTCTGTAGGGGAGGTGAGATTCAATTAATTGTTCCTTGCCTCTGTGTGCTGCTGAACAACCCATGGTACTTAATAGCTTCTGAACCCAAAACTTAAGGATTCATGGATTAACCATGAGTAAGCCATGATGTTGACCATGAGGTATACCTGAGGCTCGCACTTTTTGGTCACTTTTACCCATGCTATTACTCTGTAAAGCTCACTTTTGGGGAGGGGTTTCCAGCACCGACTCCACAGCAGCCCCAGGAGCCGCTCAGCTGGCTGAAGTTGGCAGACAGCTGTTGTGTGAGGTATCAGACCCTCAGTTTGGATGAATCCAATTCTGATCATTTCTTCGCTAACTTCTATAGCGGCTGTTTCCCATGTGTAACTCACTCCCCTTTTTGCCACTGGAGTAATCAAACTTTTTTTTGTCCAGTTTTGTTAAAACTGCATCAAACCTTGAATAACTAAAATCTTAGAAAATCTGAGAAAATGCCTGAACAGAAATTGTTAGCTGTCCCCCTTAATAAAGCAGCTACCATCTCACAGTTGGTGGTGTGATATTGTGAAAACCTTTTGATAACAGAGAAATAAGAATTTACACTGCTGCACGGATGTGAAGAGACAACACCTTAATGGACTGCAGACAGAAGGTCTGGCCAGGTGCACCTGGCAGTGAGCGTAACCCATGAGCTGATAATGATTTCTTCCACATCTGCTAGAAAAAATCATTGCAATTGCTTTTTTTTCCCCAGAACTAAACGGACGACTGATTACGAGCAAGCCCTGTTTTCAGAGTGCAACTCAGGCTGTGCATGTTCCAAGAATGACTGGGACCCCATCTGCGGGGAAAATGGAGTTACCTACGTTTCTGCTTGTCTCGCCGGCTGCCAGGCGTCCAACGGCAGTGGGAAAAACACCGTAAGACAATCTCTCGTTTCCATATGTGATGTGGTGGTTTTCCTAATATGACCAGTTCTGTCATAGTAAGTGGATTAAAATTGAATAAGGCATGTCCTCTCCAGCCAAAAACTACTCAGTTTTTTTTAGCAATCTGCCACCCACTTCTAAAACTTTCTCAATTGCTGTGTGCGGCAGAAATCCCAAGCAGAGAATGTAGGAGGGTTTTTTAACTGTTGACTACCAAAACTGTTAAAAAAACCCCACTAAAAATATTCATCGATGGTAGATACTTGCTTTATAAATTTCTCCTTCAATGAACAAGCCTTTTCCTTTTGAAAAACATTTTCCAGTTTGGATTTAAACTGTTGGCTACACAGAAAAGTGTGATGTGCAATTCCTGAACATCCACTTCTCCACTGTTTAGCTTATCATACACTTTTGCCTGCTGTCTTCCAGGTATTTTTTAACTGCAGCTGCGTGGGAGCCTTGGAGTCTCCTTCACAAAGTTCCTCGGCTGTGGTGGGACCATGTCAAAAAGGAAATGAGTGTCCAAAAATGTTTTTGTATTTTCTAGTAATCTCAGTTATCACTTCATATACTTTGTCAGTAGGTGGCACGCCCGGGTACATACTGCTTCTAAGGTAAGGAATAATTTCCGCTAGCATTGCCAAACTTTTTCAAGGTGTTTTGACATTTGTAGCTGGGTCTCCCTCCCCCACTAGTGTTGTAAAATGTTTTCAGCTACACAAGGTGGCTTTTAAAATATTTTTTTTACTATTGAAAGGCATCCTCATAATTTGACCATGAGTTTTCTACCATTGAAGCAAGCAACAATGTGCTCCTGATTATCTCTGCCAGCAATACCTTTCTGGTTTAAAACTTGATATAGGAGCTCTGGTTATAATTTATACCAAATTCCACTTCCCTGAATGCCTTTTACATTACCAGAATGGTGTTAAATGGTCTCCATGCAAATGGAAATTAAATCTGCACGTGTCAATATGTACACATGTAGGCTTGTAGGTAGCCAGTTTTCCTCACTTGCTATGGATACCAATGCACAGCTACAGAGGTGATCTAACCCAAACCCTCTATAGACACTCAATTCTTCTCCTCTAGTCCATTTTATTATTCCATACAAGTGTTCTGTCCCAGATTTCTCTCTTCAAAACAAATATAGATTCAGCATGAGATATTTTTTTTCTGTTGTAATAATCATGGGTTTATTAAATGCTTGTCCCAAGGGATTGTTCCAATACATATTTAACTGCTGGAACTATTTGTCCATCACCCAGTGTAAGCTTTTAAGCTAATTTTAGAAAGTGCAAAAGGAATATAGTACTTCCAGTGATTAATCTGGATTTTTGTCAGCTTCTTGCAATTTTTGGATTCTAAGTGCTGCTTCACTTTGTTTTGGAAAGCTTTCTTTCTCAGTTCCTCTTTCCAAATTATTTCCAGATGGGTAAATTCTACTTCTCAAACAAAACAGTGGTAAACACAGTTTAACTAATCTTTATTATTGTTGTGTTTTCTTACCCCAAAAGTATCTTTATTTTTAAATGAAATTTTCTGGAACAGACCCTGTCTCATTGCCAGTGTCTTTATATCACATGGAAAAATCCAGTGCTAGAACTGGCTGAATATAGGCTATATGGAAAAAAACCTAAATAAAGAAATGTAGCTTCAGCTATGGTTCCGACACAGTCCTTGAACCAGAAGTAATAACAGAAAATTTCAGAATTGGTTGTGGCGAGGATCCTTCTCCACTGCCCTCCACAAACACTGCCAAGGAGGTATAAGGCTCAAACCATGTAAACGACGAAGCTTTCCCCACCCACCTTGTAGGGTTACCACTGAGTACTGCAAAACCACGTGGCATCTCCCTCTCTCCCTTTCTCTCTCTCTCTCCCCCCCCAAGAGGAACAATCATATTATAATCCATTTTAGGCAATTTTTACTGAGGCTTATGCACCACTGAAACTGTCCATGCACCAAGAGGAGGATGATTCACAAATCAAGAGCTTGTAGCAAAGCCTTCAGGATTTCCTCTAGATTGCCCTCTGTGGTTGCTTCTCACACAGAGGGATATTTTCTTGTATAAATATGGGCATAGGGCTATGCAGGGATGCAGTTTCCTTCCCCTTTCTCTCCACATGATGTCATAGAATCATAGAATGTTTTGGGTTGGAAGGGACCCCTAGAGGTCATCTAGTCCAACCCCCCTGCAGTGAGCAGGGACACCGCTAACTAGATCAGGTTGCTCAGAGCCCCATCCAACCTGGCCTTGAATGCTTCCAGGGATGGGGTCTCCACTACCTCTCCGGGCAACCCGTTCCAGTGTTTCACCACCCTCAGTGTAAAGAATTTCTTCCTTATATCTAGTCTAAACCTACCCTGTTTTAGTTTAAAGCCATTACCCCTTGTCCTGTCACAGCTGTCCCTACTAAAAAGACTGTCCCCCCTTCTATGCATAGCTGACCCTACTGAAAAGATTGTCCCCCTTTCTGTTCATAAAATAGTAGAAAATGTAAAGATATGGTACCGCACAGGGCCTCAAAACTGTCGTTGCCATGCACAACCTCCTGCTTTCCATCCTGTCTCCACTGCAGAAGTGTCTGGGAGGAGGCGTCCAGAGCTGTACACCTAAGAGCTTAAATCACACTGAGCTGCCTGCACTTCTGAACCTTAAGAACTTGCTCTCAGGGGACTTCATGCTTAATAGATTTATTTAGAAAAGCTTAGAGAGGTTTTCAATAACGATGCTAAAACATTTTGCTCTATGAAATCAGCAAAACAGCTTTATTTGTTCTGATCCAGAGCTTTTATTTCTGTTGAAAATCATTTTACTTTGAGAGCCATTTAACTGAAACTGAGAAGTTATGTGTTTTTCTGCTGGACTGAAGGCACCTGAATCTGATGTGCAGCTAAATAAAAGATGTTTCAGTAAGTTCAATACCTCTTTTTTTCTGCAAATGACCTGTGGGCACGATTCCACTTTAAGCTCACGCTGGCTTTTCTGAAATCACTGACTGGCTTTCCCTGAAAATCTGTCTGAACTGAAAGTGTGCTTCTATTCCCAGAAAGAAAATAAATGCTCTTTGAAAAGAAATCGTTCCAAAGTCAAGCTGCAGACTTCATTAAGGTTTTTTTCCAGTTATCTGTTTTTAAAATTATTCAGTATTCAGTCAGCTCTGATAAGATTCCAGCACTTAAGCAAGCTGATGTTTTCAGATGAGCAGATATCGTTGCACCTGCCATGGAGCACAAATACAGCTAAATCCCTAAACGCCTGTAAGATTTAGTGACATTTACTTCAAGGGTTTACACAACTGAAATCATTCAAATATGCTTACAGCTAGTGACCAAGTCATTTGCTGAAATGTCTTTTTAGTGGTATTAGACTAATTACAGTTGCCAGGGAACTTGGGAAAGCCCTGAAGTTTTGGAGAAAAAACCCTGCAATTCAGGTAGCTGTTGTTCAAGCATAAGCTATTAATAGCAGGTGATTAGGCAGTGAAAAGGAAGGCTCAGTTCTCCCTGAGGGGTTTGGCTCTCACTCAGGATCTCAAAGAACCAAGATGTTTCCCATCTGAGAGTAGATTTTTTTTTTTTTTTTTGCAGGATATAAATCCTATGGAACACTTAGTAAATATCCAGTTATTGTTTTTATTTTCCACTTTTTGCTTTCTATGTCCTTGCATTTGGCTCAAAGGGCTTCTAGGCTGAGGCTTGCTTGTGCCTGTATGTATCTGGTAGAAGGGCAAACCACTGTTCTTTGAGCTTGAAATCATATTACATTCATGCCTGCATAGATGTAAGTGCCTTTATAGGGCACAATATAATACACTTTATGATGATAATCCATAATCAGGCATTAGAGAATAAAGCACCCAGATTACAAAATGGGATGCACACATAGATTTTTTCACCATGGTACTTGGGTGTTCTTTTCCATATAAGTCCTTCATGTCCTTTTTCATTTTCACTAAATTAAGGCAAGATGACCCAAAAAGCACTTACAATATGAGTTCTTAGTGGCAGCTACATTGGGCAATAATAAAATATCACTGGTGGGGAGCAAAATAGCTAGTTCTGCAATGTCTTTATTATTTTTTAAAAGGTATTCTTGATTACATGAATTTCTGCAGAAGCTGCGTCCATCCTAGTTCAGAGCACGTAGACTGGACCTCCAAAGTGTTGTTTATCCATAGTGACAACTGAATTTCAGCCCATTGTTTTTTTCTTTTTATATTGAAGAGAATGACTGTGACAACAGGTTACCATAATGATACACGTGTTACCCCCACATATCAAGCATGTCCCAGTTTAATCATGTGACTGGGACTACTCACATGCTAAAAGTAAAACACGTACTCAGGTTCTTGCTGGATTAGGTATTGCAATAGGCAGTCTGATACGTGCTGGGTGAAACAGCACACTTGAGCAGCTGGTGAGGTTAGCAGCAGATGAGTCTTAGCAATCTGAATGGCTCCACACGCACACTGCTGCTAGCATGGACGTGAAAGGTGGCCGTTCTCGTGCCCACCACCTCCACCCTCCCAGAAGAGCCAGGACAATGACTCAAGGCTGGAGCAGGGCTGATCTGGAGCCAGAAGGACTGATGCCTGTGCTGGGCCCCCGCTGCAAGCTCAAATAAGTCCAAATGCAAATGGTCTGTTCTGTTAGAGAATGGCTTGGAGGATTTAACTTTACAGGAGGTGTTATCCTGATCCTAGATAAAGTGCAATGAAAATCGAGTGCCTAAATACCTTGTACTATGCTGGGTCATGATCCAGAATTTCAGAGAGTGTTTAACTGAATAAGACTATCCAATGATGAGTGATTTCAAAACCAATTTTCTTGTCCTGTGTTAATAGCTCCTAAGTTCTGATATTATCTGAAAATGCACCACCTTCTTAAAATGTGATATTGAATATAGATGTTCAGAATTCCTAGATACTGTTCTGATTTTATCACATTATTTACATATTTCTGTAATTATGTTAAAGTCAAAATCAGTAAGGAGAAAAAAAACATTTCTTTCCTTCCTCTTGCTTTTTATTTGTGTTCAAAGTATCCACAATCAATTCTTTATTTCAATTTAACACTTTTTTTTTTTTTTTAAATTTTTAGATGCATTAAACCACACTTGAAATCATTTGCACTTGGAATCCATACCATGGCAATAAGAGTACTTGGTAAGTCCAGCCATACTCTTGGGTCTATTTTAATATATTCCTCACTAATCGTTTATCCAAGAATTCAGCTTTGGTTGTTGGAAAGAACAATGTCTAACTGACAAGTTAATATTACATGATTTTTAAAAATACCTAGGAAAAGGGTTGGAAAAAGGAAGCAGCTTTGTATTTCATAAATCGTGTAACTGTGTCTTAGGTATAATAAGAATATATGCTGCTAGCATCCATAGAGGTTACAAGTGATCCTTCAGACCATGAAACTAACATCAAAATTACCTCTTGTCTCTCCTTATTCAACAACAAGCATAACAGAACAGCCATGGCTCAGAATTTGGGATCCTTTTTCTGGCATATTTTCATTAGTTTCTAAGGGAATTAATTGAAGTACAGGTGTGCCTGAGGGCAGGGTTTACTGCAGCCTTGTGGCAGAGCCACCTATAAATTTTCTCTAAAATCAAGGGTACTGCAAGATGCCAATGAACTGGAAAATTTAAAATCTTCTAAGTCTTCATAGAAAAGGTATTAACTAGCAAGGAGCAAGTCAGTTATTTAAATAGAGCAGACTTAGATGAGCTGGATGAGGCAGATGAAATGATACCAAAACAAGCTGTTGGCTGCTTCCTCGCACCTTTGCAGGCCAGAATTTTCCCTCCAGGCTTACTTTCTTCTTCAGAAACCATGAGTGCCTCCCCAGGTTGCACAGAGTCCACAGTGTCCCCATTAGCACCTGAAGAAAGGCTTTCCCTTTCCATCATCCACAAGCACTGCAGTAGGCTTGCCCCTGCTGCAGTAGGATCTCAGGATACTTGTAGGATACTTGTAACCCCACTGCAGGCTCCCAGCCCTGCTGTCTCTCTCCCTTCTCACCCACCCCCCCCACCCCCCCCAACCAACATAGAGGACACTCCCCATCCCCAAGCTGAACAGGCTCCATCACTCTCAAGAAAGGAGAAGTATTTCCTTTTTTATTTTTCCCAGAGAGGTCCTGCAGGGTGAGGAAACCAAGCCATGGCCAGCACTCCTTCCGCTGACTTCCACAGGCTTTTTGATATTCAGCTGCATTTCCTCCCCACCCCAACTCCCCACAGAGAGGAAAGGGCGGTGTGCGCCTGGGCAACACAAGTCACAACTTCTTGAACTAGCAGCATGGAAGTGTCATGGCTGTTCAAATGTATTATTTAGCGTTCTGCGTGAACATGTCTCTAGATCAGAACTGATCACCCTGGAAAGTAATTTTCTTGCCTCTATTTTTTGTTAAATACACCCAGCGGGAATTCCAGCCCCAGTGTATTTCGGAGTGGCGATCGATACCACTTGCCTGAAATGGGGAAGCAAAAGATGTGGGGGAAGAGGAGCGTGCAGACTCTACAACTCCAGTGCACTCAGGTAACAGCTCTTCTCCATTCGTTCTTTAATTTGTGTTCTTTATGTGCATCTACACCTGGCACTGGTAGAAGAGTTTCTGTTAGAAAATGTGAGTGAAAGATTTGATGCCAAATGAAAGAGTCTGTCTAGAAATATTAACAATAATGCTCAGGTTTTAGCACTCTTTTTTTTTTAGTCTCCAGGGGGGTGTCATCTCAATATCTGTTGGAAATATTTAAGTCACTTGATTATTCACCAAAAAAAAATGTTTAGTTAAAACCTCAATTTTATGCTAAAGCTTCCCCCATTTTTTTGACAACTCTGCTGTGAGAGCATGTGTGTGTACATAAATAACTAAAAGGGCTGTTAAACCTCATCACTACTCCATATTGGAGCTGGACCACAAAAAAGAAGGGAAGGGTGCCACAAAGCATGCTTGGGTTATCTAGAGGCCTGAGCACAGTGTTGTCTTTATCAATTTATTGCTAGAAGAGAGTAATTATCTGAACTGCATTCATGAAAGGTATTTCCAGAAATGGAGAATGGAATAACAATGGTAAAAGGAAATGAGAGAACAGGTTGCCCTTCCTCCCCAACCCCCGGAAAAAGCATGAGGGGAGGGTACATATTGTTTTGAAAATTTGAAGAAAAGAACAAAAGCTCAGTTGGGAGTCATTACTAATAAAGCAAAACGATGTTATTGTTGCTGCTGTTGTTGTTACTGTTATTATGTCTGTAAAGCGCAAATACCATCAAATGGTCTTGATATCACTGGCACTGTTTATGAGGCAACCAAAAAATAATTGCCCTAGAAATACTAGTGTTATTCACACTGAATCACATTGGGGTGGAGGATGTCAGTCAATGTCTGAAATGCTTTCTTGGTCACAGACCACACAATACCTGACCTGGGTGAGCTGGCAGACTCTCATCTCCAGGGTCATCACCTTGCTTTCCTACTCAGCCTTACCACATGAAACCACGAATGTGTCCTTGATGCCTTCTAGTCGTATGTTGCCTTTGAAATAGGCTCTGATCAATCATTTCTCTCTCAGGTACGTGTACCTGGGGCTGACTTTGGTGTTGGGCACGGTGTCCATTTTCTTCAGTGTTGCTGTCCTTTGGGTTCTCCGGAAAAGGTCTTCTCCACAAGATGAGACCCTCTCAGCCAACGGGGAGAGAGGCACCTGTGGGACAAAGAGCAGGAAAAATAATTTTGTGAATAATGACCATTTAATTCAGACAACTTACTGGCCAGAAAAGGAGACCAGACTTTAGGAAGACTGAGATCTCCACCATGACTTTACCCAGTGAGTGGTGTTCCAGGCAAAAATTCATCATCAGTGAAGCGATAACTTAGTATCCACCCTGAAAACATTCACCTTCATGTAATTTTCACTGTAAACATCAAAAGCAAAGGCAACCATTTTAGCACATGTACAGCTCTGAAAACACTGCTCACCATTTGTCCTGCTAAGTCAGTGCCACTCAAGTGAGGGGATTTGTCATGGCTGGGGAGGTGCAGCTTGCTCCCTTGTCAAGAAGCCAGTTTTATGGCTGCCCCTCAGCTCCATCCCTCCTCATCAAGCTGCAAGAGCCGCTGCTGCCCCTCAGCTTCCTTCTGTATGTGAGGAGTAGTGGGGAGGCTGCAACGCAGCTCTTCTCTCCGCTGTGGTACCAGCCCGAGAGGAGCAGGTGCACAAAACCCAACTTGGCAACCTGGAAGGTGCAGGGATATTCTGCACGTAGCTCACCCTTGCAAGCAGCGCGGCACAGGGCAGGAGGACGGTGGTTTGCTGGAAGGACAAATCAGCTACAGGCTCTGGGCATCTCGTGAATTCGACCCATAACACTTAGGACATCAAAAGTTGTGGTTAGGGATTATTTTTCAAGTATCTCTGTTATAGCACAACAACAAAAGCAATAAAAGTTGTCATTGCAGTCAAAGAGACCACAAGAGTATCATCCAAAGGAAACTGGAATAAAAACAGAGCTTTTTTAGGTTTCTGGCAGTTTCTCGCTCCTTGCTAGTACTCAGTGTACTGAATAATTCCATGCATCTTATGCGATGTAATAACACCATGATACAAGGTACATATGATTTATTTTTAAAAAAGCTATGACAAGACAGCTTGGGAACAATAAAATGAATTCAAAGACCAGGTGATTTGGGGCTTTTCCTTTTAATTTCTTGTATTTGCTAGATGAAACTAAGGCATGTATCATAGTATCCCTTTATATATAATTTTTTGCAGTTTAACAATATTTGGTATTAAATAAATTTGGGGTGGGGAGTACAATGGAGAGCTGCTTAACATGGAACAAAATCTCAAAAATGCTTGCACTGGAAAAGATAGTGACAGCACCACTATAAAATATGTCCTTTAAAGCAACTAGAATTTTAGAGCACATGATGAAAGGTAGGCTTCACTCTTCATCATAATATTGGCAAAACGGTCTCCTATCACATCACTTGCATCTCAGCAGTGACTGCAGGTACCCTGCTGCCTAGATGAGTTCGCAGGTCAGAGGCAGATGTGGAGCTTGCAGGAGGAGGGGCAGATGTATATGAATGGGATTTACTGAGCTTTATCAATGGTAAGTGTTTACAGTGTGCCATTAGGGAACCTAATCCATTCAACAGGAATACTAAGAAGGATGTTGCTTAAGCACCAATTATCTGCAGAAGGTAAGGATTTAAAGCCATCAACTGAGAAAATGCAGTTGCCAGAGGAGGGACGAATGCCACACACCGTTTGCCATGTTGATGAGGGTTTAGACAGTGGCCTGGAATATGGGAGACCCAGTCCCCTGTCCCAGCTCTGTCCTCCCGGGTGAGCGTCGGAAGCTACAGGCAATGGGGTACTGGAGACAAATGAGCTGTCAGATCCAGTGAGAGAAAGGGACAACCCAACCCAAATACACACTGGAGTAAAAATGAGGGTTATCTGCATTTCACACAATGCTGGATGTTGTATGTGTGTCAAATAAATGGGGATAATTCCTAATTTGTGGATCAGTTCCGGCAGGGTTTATAGCAGGGACAATTCTGCTCAACAATGCTGAAGCTCTCATGGAGGCAGTTCTGCATGTGCCCGGCAGCAAGATGGCCAGGAAAATTCACTGGCTTACAGAGCTAAGAAAGAAATTCAGTGAAATAAACATATCCTACTCTAATTCAGAAAGAAACAGGAAAAAAATCCACTTCTTGGGTTATCACCTAAGCTTATGTATCTAAGTCTGTACTTAGTGAATAATTCTTTTAAAGTATGGTCTTTTCTTCCATACCCCATTTTCTTTACACATGAAAGAAGAGGAATACTATAAAAGAATTTGTTTTGCTAAGTCTTATTTTCATTATGGTTTAAAAATGAACATACTTTTCCTCTCACCCTTTGGCAATATTACTGTAAGTTACCAAGCAGCTATACTCCTTTCCCACTTTGAAAATTTTTCAAGTCTGCTATTTTATTTTAATACTTCAAGTAGTAATGTGGATGCATGGATGAGTGTCTGAGTAGAGATACATATTCTGGATTTGTTATAATAGATGAACAAATGGTCTCATCACTAGGGCATTTGGACCTGTCAGGTTCTTCCTACCAGAATTCTTAAACAAAACCTGCAACTGATAATGTCTCACAAAGGTCAACAAATTCGGATTTTTTCTTTTCTTTTTAGAATTAGAGCTATTAAACCACAATTGAGAGATTGCAAAGAAGCAAATTACTTTCATTTTCAAAGGTGAGACTGTTAAAAGAATTGGCTGAGATTTCCCAACAACTCATGCCAGCCATTCACAACCTTGTTAAGGAGTATCCATGGGCTGTGTGCCATGTAAAAATGGTTTTCATACATTTTCATCTTATAACAAGGATCCTAATTGGCACATACGGAAGAAGGTGAGGGTACCAGGCCATGTCACATCATGGGATGTGCAACCAGGCCAGGGGCATGTGAGCCAGCGCACATTTTCTCTCCTACCTCCCAGCAAAAACTGCAAGTCTCAAATGACATAATATGTTTTACTTATAGGCACATAATTTCTAATTATGTCAGGAAGGAAACATAGAGGAATTCTAACAGATGAAGAAGGCAAAAAGATGACATCTGTAGCCTGTGGGGACACTGTATTTCATCCATAGCTCACGCCCTCCCAGCATTTGAGAGGAAAGAAGTATCAGTATAGAATGAAGTATCTTCAGATCACAGACAGTAGAACAGCTACCACATCCTTGTGCCCACTATTAAATTGCTATATAGGATCCTGTACTCCGAGGGAATTGTCAAAAGGCAGAGAGCAAATGGTGTGAATGTATCAAAAAGAATACATAGGCTGAATAATGATATGTTGCCTCCTTGATGTGCTCAAAATAATGAGCAAGACTGATGTATGAAACAACTGCTGTAATATTTTTAAATAGCGTCATGATTATTATCATTGGAGAGAAAACACTGGCATTACCACTTTGGCTGGTTTGACTGTTGATGACACAACACAGTTTAGCTGTTTGAAACATGCAACTTAATTCTGCATAACATTGAAAGAATAAAATTTACTCCTCTCTAGAAGCTATGAAGTGTATAGCACATAGACTCACAAGTAGCTAAGTCACAGGGGTATTTTAAAAGTATTTGTAAATACAGAACCGTTATTAATAATCATGAGAAATATGAAGAAAGTGAGCACACTTCTTTAACAGAAGAAGAGCATAGGAGGATATTGAAAACTAACAATTACAGCATAAATGAAATGTTTCATCTCACCAGTAGTAGAATTATGGGTGTAGAAGTTTACACAGATTTAAATAGTGTCTAGATGAAGAGGAAAAAATGTATTGAAGGCTCTTTAAAGTGTAAAGACCACCTCAGAAAGTCCCAGGCCAAAAAAAAGAAAAAAAAAATCCCTGGAAAGTGAAAGAGCATATGAGAAAGCATGGAGCATTGCTAAGCAAGTGCTGCATGAGGCAGTTCTCCATCCAGTACTAATCAATCTCTGGAGAAAAGAAAGTCCATAGTTGCCATAAAAATTATGACAGCAATTTAAAGGTGGGTCCCTTTAATGGTGATTTAGAGTGCTTGTTAAAATGACCTTACTTAAGCAACATGCGGTTAATGTCTTCAGGAGGTTGGTTAACCAACAGCTCATCACAGATTAATACAGTTCATTGAATTTTGAAGAGAGTAAATAAGAAAAGGATTTAGTGGAAAGCAAGCAGAGAACATTCTCACAGCTTGATGGTGAGCAGGTCAGGGAACTCTCATGGCTGTTGAGCAAGGTAACTTTGAAAGGTTGTACACAGTGGTAGCCAGAACCCTCTCCTTGATCCCATGATGTTGGCACTTCTAAAAGAAGATACTGAGAAATGGGGACTGGTTTAGAAAAAAAACCTGTGAAAGTGCAATGCAGTCAGCAAAAATCTGTTTATTTAATTCTGCAGACAAAGCTAGACTATGTTCCAGTGCCTGGAAATGAAACAGAACAAAACTGCATTAAAAATACATTTTTTTCACTAGAACAACTGTCTTTGGATTCTTATATATTTTTCTGCCACGTGTAGTCTTTAAATCAAGACTTGACCATTCTTGTAAAAGATCTGCTCTAGTGTAACAAGGCAGATGAACAGCTTGGTGAAGTTGTGTTGTATATACTGCCAGGTGTTCTATTACCTGAACCATAATATTTTTTTCAGTCCTTATATGTCAGATAATTTCTCAGACCATGTGAAGATGATGGGGGTTTTGCCCTGGGGATTTCACCTGAAATATACGTGTTTTTCATTGCTGTTATGCTATGGTGCAGCACACATTTGGACTAGCTCATACAAATGTCTAAGTACTCTCACCTGCCAATGACTTGCACACCTTAAATTCTGCGTCTATAATAACAACTCCAAACTAAGCCACTGATTAAGACTGAATGCAAAGATAAGCTGTACAATTGACATTAAGACAGAACATTCTGGTGTACTTTTCCCCAGACAGATACATGATGCAAATCAATCAAAATTATCAATGAGTTCTTTTGAAAGACAAAAGCTCCACCAAGCAGTAGAAGGAACAAGTCCCAGACACCAGCTAAGACGGTGACACCAAACGAGCTTCTCAGCACTTTTTTCTTTCTTGTTAGCTCTACAGCAACAAGCTGAAACTAGATGCACTGAAACAGGAGCACCAAGAAACCTTTTCCATTATTGTAAAGGTTTTTCACGTTCTCAGGATTCCTGTAGTAGCTTAACATTTGCTTAGCCGTACACCATCCCTTTTACTTAGTTCAT